AAAAAAAAAAAAAAAAACAGCACGTTTTTTTTTGTTTTTTTTTTTCCGATGATTGATTGATTGATTGATTGATTGATTGATTAATTGATTGATTGGCCCCACTGGCGCACACACACACTGTTACATGCCCAGATGGGCGATGAACATCATAACCGAGGATCTGCAATGCGATAAAAAGGACTGAATGGACAATGCTGTGCAAGTACAATCTCAACTAGCAATGTGCATTCCGATACATACAAACTGATGTTGAATAGCGCAGGGAAGATTTAAATACAAGACCTGACCTGACTGGGACTGACCTCATTCACATATTATCCGATAGCGAAGCAGAATGCTAGAATGCTAATGACTAGCCCAATCAATGTGTGAACGCAGACCAAACATCGTATCCATCACTAGGTGTGAAGGAGCCTGGCGCTGTACACAGGAAGAGAGCGCCAGGTCTAGACATATATAGACAAAGAGGAGGGAATCAGACGAAAGGAGGGAGAGAGATGGGAATGTCGTCAACACCAAGTCTTAGTTACAAGTCTCAAATAATCCCTCGTTACAATGTCTGAAGTCCAAAAGTCGAGTCTGGATCCGATGTCACCAAGCTCTTTCTCTCTTCTCTCGTAGTCNAAATAATCCCTCGTTACAATGTCTGAAGTCCAAAAGTCGAGTCTGGATCCGATGTCACCAAGCTCTTTCTCTCTTCTCTCGTAGTCTGCAGATGCAGTGAAGTCAGATGATGAGAGCGAGAAAAGGAGATGGTGGACTGAGAAAAGGAAGAAGAAAACCTCTCTCTCTCTGTTACGAGCCAGTTACTAACCTGTGATGTTGGCGCTGTGCTGCAGGTACCTCGAAGACGAAGCTGGAGCAACGGCGCTGCAGGAAAGTACTCCTGGCCTCCGCCCAATCTCTCTCTCTCTCTAGCACTCTAGCTATGGCGCCCACCGCTGAAGATTATTGCTAACGCTGTGAGCGCCCAGCGCTGAAGACTAAGGCTAACGCTACCACTACTACTACTGCAGCGCTCCTCCAGAGTGTTGCTGCTGAAATCCTAAAGACTAATGCCTCCTGCCTGTCCACGAAGTGCATGGGAAGTCCCTATGTACTTCCTCGGCCTGCCTCCTGACTGCCTGAAGGGCGAGCTAGGCCGAGGAGGCTGCTCTTGCCAATGCAGAAGTGTGTCAGGGGCTGGCGCTGCAGCAGCTGCTGCAGCTGGCGTGGGAACAGGCCAAAAATAACCTATTCCTAAAACCCTGGTTTAGTGTTTGAGTTTCGGGGTAGGTCGGTCTGATGAGGGTCCGAAAATGGCCCTCAGTTTCAGGCTAAAAAGGCTCATGCCGTTTTTAGTCTGAACCGACGCAGGGCCTGTAGACCCCTGTTTCCAGCTCCACGAGCTGAACAGACATGGGGCCTGTAAGCCCTAACTTTCAGGCTTTCGGCCTGAAAACCAGGCTTTTAGCCTGAAGGACGCAGGGCCTGGGAAATGGCCCTCGTGTGCAGGCGCAACATGTAACACCCCCCCCTCCTTATGAAATCAAGTCGGGGCGAGGGCGAAGCTGACGATCTGAAGGTGGAACCTGGACGCGGGCACGGAGTGGAGCCGAAGAGACCGGCTTGCCTTGCATCTTGCGTTCGTAGCGTGCGAGAACGTCTAGAGCTGTTGCTTGAAGTTCCGCACGGGTCAACCAACGGTCAGCTCGATGTGTGCAGTATACAAAATGTACCAAGTACTCGGTTGGCCTGTTGTTGTAGCGTCGTTGGGAGATGATGTCGCCGACCTCCTCAAATCCGTCCATAGAGGGTGGGTCTTGCAAACGTCGCCCGAGAAAATTGTCATGATCCGCTGGCGTGTAAAGAGCCAACTTGAAGCAATGAAAAACTAGGTAGACGGGCAAGTGGGCGGGCAACTGAATCGTGAAGGAAGGTCTCTCGGGTGCGTCTCCAGCGGGTGCTACGATCGGCCAAGGCCCCATCCATTTTGGGAGGAGCTTGCGAGAGATGTCTTGTTCAAGGCTGAATTCCGCTGCGGAAACCCAAACGAGGTCGCCGGCGCGGAATGGACAAGGAAGACGCTGGCGATTGGCCTGCTGGCTCATGCGCTGCTGCGTCTTAGCCATCTGGTCGCGTGCCTTGACAATAAGCTCTTGCATCCGACGCAAGAAAAGAAGATGGTCGTCGCTCTCGGCCGCTCGTGGAGTAATAATGTCCAATGGTGAAGTGACCGGCGAACCGTGCTCGAACTCGAACGGCGATATCCCGATAGCCGGGTGGATGGAAGAGTTGTAGGCCAACTCGACATCCGGCAGCCGCTCAACCCCGTCCTTCTCGTCCGGACGGACAAGAGTGCGAAGGAGAACTTGTGCGGTATGGCGCGCCCTCTCCGTTTGGCCATCGGTCTGAGGGTGGCGAGTTGAATTGGGCTTGAGAGATGAGCCCCATCGCTTGATGAGTGCCATCCAAAAATCGGACTTAAACCGAGTGTCGTAGTCGCAGACGATCTCCTTGGGGTAGCCCTTGGTTCGAATCCAACCGACGTACAGAACCTCAGCCAACTCCGGTGCCTTGGCATGATAGCGGCACGACAAAAACATGGCAAACTTGGTGAGTTGGTCGACCACCGTGAGAATCCCATCCACGCCGGTCTTGTGCTTGGGGAACGGGCCGGTGATGTCCATGGCAATCGCTTCCCTTCGCCTCAAAGGGACCGGTAATGGTCGTAACTCGCCGTACGGACGGTGGTTGCGGGACTTGCAATGTCGGCAAACCTCGCATGACTCGCAATAGCGTGTGACATCGCCGAGAAGGTCGGACCACCAAAATCGCTCGCGAAGTCGGCCAATCGTACGATTGAATCCAAAGTGTCTGGTGGCGGGAGCATCTTGGAACTGGCCAAGAAGCCGTGTACGCAAGTGAAGATCACTTGGTACGCAAAGAAGGTCCTTCCCCCGCGTGTGGACAAGCAAGTACCCCTCTTGGATCCGGTAGTGAGAAGGCGTCAGATTAGGAGAGGAGCAATTCGCGTACTTGTCGCGGAACTCGGGGTCGGCTTGGTAGCCGCGGATGAAGCTGTCCCGCAAGTCATCATCAATCTCAAAAGTTGAGTAGACTGCGGTACAATGGTCCGGACGTCGTGAAAGAGCATCCACAAAATGGTTTGACTTGCCCAGAATGTGGTCGGGGAAAAAGTCAAACTGGTCGATGAAGGCCATCCAACGGGCAATGGTGCTATTGACTGTGTTTTGGGTCTTGTAGAAGACTAATGGATTGTTATCCGTTACCCATCGGAACTGCCGCCGACCAAGAAGAAAATGCCGCCAGCGTTTGAGAGTGTGTATGAAGGCCAATAACTCCTTTCGTGCATCGTCAATCGAGTGCACGGCGGACACTTTCTTGCTAAAGTACTCGATCAAGTGCCAGTCCACACCGTCATGTTGCGCGAGGACGGCACCAATGCCATAGCCGGACGCATCGGTAGTGACACGTGTCGGCAAAAGCAGATCGTAGATGCGCAACACCTCCGCGGATAGCAATGCGGCTTTGAGAGTCAAAAATGAAGTCCGCTCATGGTCGTCGAAGTCGAATGGCCGGTCCTCACATTGAAGCTTGGATAAAGGAGCCGCGATCTTCGAGTATCCCTTGATGAAGCGTTGATAGTAGCCGGCTAAGCCAAGGAAGGAACAGCTATTTGTGACGGTCTTCGGCTCCGGCCACTCTTGGATGGCTTGAATCTTGTCCGACGACGGACTGATGCCCTCCGGTGTGACAAAATGGCCCAAGTATTCCAGCTCCTGCCGGACAAATTCGCACTTGTCGCGGTTTGCCTTGTACTTTGCGCGGCGGAGCGTCTCCAACACTCGTCGAAGGTGCTCAAGATGATCCTCCAATGTCCGGCTATAGACGAGGATGTCGTCTAAGTAGACTAGTACAAACTGGTCTAGCATCGCACGAAACTCGTTGGTCATTGCCGCTTGAAAGGTCGTCGGGGCATTGGTGAGGCCAAATGGCATGACGATCCACTTAAAGTTTCCATAACGCGTCTTGAACGTGGATTTGTAGCAATCTTGCGGGCGTATCAAGATTTGGTGGTAGCCCGACTTCAAGTCCAACTTTGAAAAAAAAATTGCGTCGCCCAAACGCTCAAGGAGGCCGTCAATTCGCGGAAGAGGTCCCGCATTCTTGACGGTTTATGCGTTGAGCTTGCGGTAGTTGATGCACAAGCAAAGATCCTTGTTCTTCTTCCGTACGAAGAGAACTGGCGCACCGTATGGTGAGCTGCTAGGGTGGATCCAACCCTTGTCCAAAAGATCGTCCAGTTAGCGCGGAGAACCTCGAGCTCTTCCTCGCTCATGCGATTGATGCATCCTTTCGGCGGCACGGCACCGGCCTCGAGAATGATCTCGTGGCAGATCGGCCGATCCGGCACCACACCGGTAGGAGACTCGAAGATGTCGGTGAACTCATCGAGCAGCCGCACCACTCGGGGGTCCGAAGACAAGTTCGTTGGTGAAGATTCAGTCGTCGCGACGGCTCGTAGAAAACATAGGCCTATCTCGTCGGTCCGCTCGTAAGCGCAAATGGCCCGAAAAGACTTGGTCGTTACAACTTGGCACCGGATCGAGGAGTGCGGAAGAGGAATGGTACACGGCACCTCGACGCCGAAGGCGTCGCGAACRGTAAGTGTCCRCTGATGGAAGTTAACCGTGTGRTCCGCACTTGCAAGCCAAGGCATGCCCAAAATGATGTCGAAGTCCGTGTCCAAGACGTCAAACGTCACCGGTTCGCATGCATGAGGTGCGAAATAAACCGGCACGGCTTCAATGTAGCGATCGAGGAGTTGTTGCGTCCGACCGTCCGCCAACTTGATCACCGTCGGGTTTGGCTTCCTTCGAACTTGAGCGCCAAGGCCAGCCCTTTGAATAAAGGACAGGCTGATGAAATTGCGAGTCCCGCTGCTATCCAGCAAAGCGTTGCAGGACGCTTGTCCAACTTGGATGCGGACGTAGAGGAGCGGTGCGTTGTTATCATCGTACCGCTGCATGCGAAACGCGCGGGCCACCTTGGTAACATATGCAAGGATGTCCCCCACCGCAGCTTCGTCATCCGTCGGCGAAGATGGTGGTGCATAGAAGGCTAAGTATGTGTGAAGATGGGCGCATGGTGTTGTGCATTGCCGTTCCGGCAAGCAGCCTGTGGAAGGGATAGGAAGCCATGCAAAGTCCTCGGACGTCAACGGGTCCAAGACCTCTATGTTGAACTCGTGCGTCGAATCCCTTGAAGAGCCACTTGAAGACGATCGATTGTTGCTGTTGTCGGACGGAGAAGAAGCCGCACACACATCTTGTCCTTGAGCTTGATAACCCAGCGAAGGAACGAGCAGGGCAGCATAGTCCTCATAAGAATACAAGAGAGGACTGTCGACTTCCGCATGTGCCTCAGAATGAAGAGAGGTCGCTCGTGAAGCAACCGATTCCGAAGGCCTCGAGAGTGCAGTCGCATCACTCTCGGCGGTGCTCACTTTCCCGAAGGGGATTTGGCTTGGACCGGCGTGGTGCACGTTGCGGTGTTGTGCACCGCGCTGTTGCACCACAAGCAATATCGGTACTTAGAACGGACGCGGTACACGCCTTCCGAGATACCGTAATGTGTCCAAGGCTCTTGAGCTTCTGGTCCGGCCTCGGGGGCTGAAGTGGTGTGTGTCTTCGGTCTGTCACGTCCTCGCCCTCTGGCGGGGCGGCCACCATCCCCGACGGCTGCCAATCTGTCTCCTTCCTCAGAAGAGGCAGCCTCGCTTGAAATGTTGGTCGTTGTAGTTGTTGTGACCACGGCCACTTTCGGCCGATGCTGTCCTCTGCCCTGGCCTGCCGCAGACGAATGGCCCAAATTCTTGGCCTCAATGTTCATCAGGATGATCTGCGAGGCTTTGTCAAAAAGTTGCTCACTTGTGGTGAGCATCTTCGTAACTTGCGTCAAGGCGTTCTGCAACGCCGGGCAGCTCCTCCTAATGAAGAAGTGCTTGATAGCGATGAATGTCGACGGCAATGTAGGCGTGGATGCCAAGCGTTGGTACTCGGTGATCCAGTCCGTGCTTGGCAGGTCATTCTGATAGAACCGTTGAAGTTTCTCAGCTGCCTGAAGCTCGCGCGACTCCACTTGGAACCGCTTGTGCCATGCTGCCTTAAGATCAGCCCAACTGATCTTCGTATGCAGCTCGGGCACTGCGACGTTGTGCGTGGACAACATGTTGTCCAGCCATGCCTGGCACGCACCTCCCAAGCGGGAGTATAAGTATGAATGTCGGTTCGGATTGATCACGTGCTGAATGTCCAACTTCAGCTCAAACTGACGCCACCATGGAATCGGGTCCGTCTTCATTGCATTGCAGAAGATCGGGAGGCCGTCAAACTTCGGAATGCTCTCGCGATTGGTTGTACTTGGACTGGCTGCGACAACGCAAATCTGCTGGTCAATCCGCTGACTTGTCGTTAAAGCGCCGTCCTTGAGAGTCTCGACGTCGATCTCCAAGACGTTGATGCGATCCGCCAAGTTGGAGGGCCCGACGGGGGTGGCTGTTGCAAGCTGCTGTTCCATCTGGCGTACCCAGTCAAGCAGTTCGTCAATAACACGAATCTTCTTCCGGACCAGGGTGTCCATGCAGAGGAGGTCCTCTTGCTGTGCTGCACAGGTGGCGATCAGGTCGCTCACATGTTCGATTGTGGTTGCAAGGCCACGCATAGTAGAGGGGGCACCTTCCTCTTCAGCAGCCACTGCCCATTCGCAGGCGATCACCTCGATATCCCCCTCGCATTCGAGGAGTTTGTCTCGGCGTAGTCGACGGCGTTCATCTGCAGCCGTCACTGCTGCCTCAGCGTCCGCCTGTCGCTGCTCTTCAGTGAGGCGACGCTGTTCCTCTGCTTCATCGTCTTCCTTCTTACGTACGGACGTTGCCGCAGCTGCCCGTTGCTTGTACTCGGCTACCATGTCCAGCATGCGGGCCTCATAGGCCTCGGTAGTCTCGCCTGGTTGTTGCTCCATGCCGCTTGTCTTTGAGCGGGTGAGTACCATGCACTTACGTGTCCTGCCGCTGTGGCAGCTTACCAATGTCGTATACTGCTGACGTGGCCTGCTGACGTGGCAACTCACCAATGCCGCCGCAGGGAGTACCCGGGGGAAGATAGAGAAGACCAGATGGGGCAACAGCATAGGTGGGGAGGGGGGATGAATCGCCCAGATAAGGAGCCACTAATCAAAAAAGAAAAGTTTGAACTTCACAAAAAAAATTCGAAATAAAAAAATCCCGAGCTTTGCAAGTTCAATAGGTCTCCTTACCTCCCTTGAAGTACGAAATGATCATTGAGAAACAAAAATTTCGACTTCAGACTGCAAATGATTTATAGACTGACTAACAGAATCTTAGAACTGCGAAAAAAAAAATCTGAAAAAGAAATAAAATATTCGGACTTACTCAGATGAGAGTATTCGCAGTTTGGAAAATAATACCTGCAAGAGGGATTTTCCGTACCGTTTTAAGAAAAACGAATTTCAAAAAAGAAGATATTCCGAATTTCTAAGTAACGGGAAATACAACAGGAAATCGAAATTTCCGAACGAATTTTGAATTTTTCAGAAAAAAAACGAAAATGGAAATTTCAGATGTTGCGCTACTGCGATTTTCCACAATAGAATAGCGAGAAAACAAAATCCAAGAAAAGAAAAAAAAAAATCGATTTTCGTAAAAATCGTGATTTTGGGGTCTAACTAGTGTGTTCTAATCAATCAATAAAGACTAATCAGCTACTTAGTCCCCGCACACGTGTCAGATCAGGTTGTCCTTATTCACGTGCGAAGCTCCGATACCAACTATTACATGCCCAGATGGGCGATGAACATCATAACCGAGGATCCTGCAATGTGATAAAAAGGATTGAATAGACAATGTTGTGCAAGTACAATCTCAACTACCAATGTGCATTCCAATACATACAAACTGATATTGAATAGCGCAGAGAAGATTTAAATACAAGACCTGACTTGATTGGGACCGACCTCATTCACATAGTATCCGACAGCAAAGCAGAATGCTAGACTGCTAATGACTAGCCCAATCAATGTGTGAACGCAGACCAAACATACATCGTATCAATCACTAGGTGTGAAGGAGCCTGGCGCTGTACACAGGAAGAGAGCGCCAGGTCCAGACATATATAGACAAAGATGAGGGAATCAGACGAAAGGAGGGAGAGAGATGGGAATGTCGTCAACACCAAGTCTTAGTCACAAGTCTCAAATAATCCCTCGTTACAATGTCTGAAGTCCAAAAGTCGAGTCTGGATCCGATGTCACCAAGCTCTTTCTCTCTTCTCTCGTAGTCNAAATAATCCCTCGTTACAATGTCTGAAGTCCAAAAGTCGAGTCTGGATCCGATGTCACCAAGCTCTTTCTCTCTTCTCTCGTAGTCTGCAGATGCGGTGAAGTCAGATGATGAGAGGGGGAGAAGGAGATGGTGGACTGAGAAGAGGAAGAAGAAAACCTCTCTCTCTCTGTTACGAGCCAGTTACTAACCTGTGATGTTGGTGCTGTGCTGCAGGTACCTCGAAGACGAAGCTGGAGCAACGGCGCTGCATGTAAGTACTCCTGGCCTCCGCCCAATCTCTCTCTCTCTCTAGCACTCTAACTATGGCGCCCAGCGCTGAAGATTACTGCTAACGATGTAAGGGCCCAACGCTGAAGACTAAGGCTAATGCTACTACTACTACTACTGCAGCGCTCCTCCAGAGTGTTGTTGCCGAAATCCTATAGACTAATGCCTCCTGCCTGCCCGTGAAGTGCATGGGAAGTCCCTACGTACTTTCTCGACCTGCCTCCTGACTGCCTGAAGGGCAAGCCAGGCCGAGGAGGCTGCTCTTGCCAATGCGGAAGTGTGCCAGGGGCTGGCGCTACAGCAGTTGCTGCAGCTGGCGTGGGAAAGGCCAAAAATAGCCTGTTCCTAAGACCCTGGTTTGATGCCTGAGTTTCGGGGTAGGTCGGTCTGATGAGGGCCCGAAAATGGCCCTCAGTTTCAGGCTAAAAAGGTTCATGTCGTTTTTAGTCTGAACCGACGGAGGGCCTGTAGGCCCCTGTTTCCAGCTCTACGAGCTGAACAGACACGGGGCCTGTAATCCCTAACTTTCAGGCTTTCGGCCTGAAAACCAGGCTTTTAGCCTGAAGGACGCAGAGCCTGGGAAATGGCTCTCGTGTGCAGGCGCAACATGTAACACACACACACACACACAAGTAAGATTGTATATTTTCATGTTCTAGCGGAACATTCATTCGATTTTGCTTTTTTTTTTTCCGTTCATTGATTGATTGATTGATTGATTAATTGATTGATTGATTGATTGATTGGTGGGGGCAGGGTCACCCCCCCACCCCCCACAGGCGCACACACACAGACACACACGCAGTATTGTATATTTCCATGTTCTAGTGGAAGATTCATTCGATTTTGATTCTTTTTTTTTCGTCGATTGATTGATTGATTGATTGATTGATTGATTGATTGATTGAGTGGTGGGGGAGGGGTCGCCCCACCACCCCGGCACCCACCACGCGCCCGCACACACACACACACACATACACACACACTCTCACAAGCGTCATGTCCGCGTGCAGGCGAAGGCGCACACACACACACACACACACACACATAGATGTTCTCTCTCTCTCTCTCTCTCTCTCTCTCTCTCTCTCTCTCTC